TGCTCCTGTCTTGTTTGTTAAGAACAAAAATGGTAGTATGAGGAGTGGTGATTTTATTAAGCCATAAATGAGTGGATTAATACCGGAATGACAAGCTTATGGATAAAGAAAGTCTTATTGAGTATACTTGGGTTAAGGAAATTGAAGATTTTAGTAAGTAAGTGCATATAAAAATTGGGTTAGTCCTTTGAATTTGATGAGTATACCTGAGTTTGAGGTGTCGTGTTGATGAGAAGGTTGACTTCGTAGTGATAGTCAAGGCTAACTAAGCGTAATGGTACTAAGAGTTCGTGATGGATTGTGATGGGATGCAATTATATAATAAGATTGTTGGTTAAGCGAATTTTGTATAGTAATTACGACTTGCAAGTATCTAAGGTTGTGGTTTTTTAATATTTGGTGAGTAACGTGGTTGTATGGAGAGTTTTAAGAGAGGGTGGCACACCTCTCGAATAGAATCTTAAAGAGCTAGAGTATAGTAGGCTGTAGTACAACCTTTATAGAGAGGCGAGAGCAAAAATATTTTATTTGATTGCGAAGGCTAAAGAGGTATCTTCAGAGGGGTAGGTAATTGGGTTCAGAGGCGCGTGATTTATTTTGTGTTGATGTGGCTATGGTAATAGTGTCACAGATACATCAGATTGGTTGACAACTATTGGAAAAGACTTCAGAAGGGAGTGTACATACATTAGCTTGAAAGTGATGATAAGTGCTATGTTTTGTTTTTGAGTTTAGTAATGAGTACAATTCAATTTTAGCGAAGGATATTGTAAGATCGATGGAGATGCGATCAATGATAAGCGAAGATCTATGAATTCATAAGAATCTTCAAGGTATAAGCTAATGTTGCTAGATAAGGGGATTGTGTTATACGGTTGAATTTACAATTCATATTTTTTATTGTAAGTCTACATTCGTGGTGATATATTTTGTCAAGGTATGAATTGGCAAGGTGAAAAATGATCAATTGTATCCGGATTGAGCATTTGAAAGGACTTACACCTGGTTGAGTCGTAAAGTTTATTACTATTGATTGTTAAGTACCTAAGAAAAGTTTCATTTAAAAGTGTTGGTTTATAATAAGGTAAATGGTCGGAGTGTTTATGATGGTTGTTAGTATTGTGAGTATGATTCACTAGCTATGCCCTCGTGTGTTTTCACTTTTGTGGGTGGATCCTTAGTGGTTGATCAGGGGTACCAATCCTGCGATGCTCTCATGGTTCAGTGGGATGATTGGGAAGACTTTGTTATTTTAGATGACATATTTGGCGTTGTCTTGAGTTGTTAAAATATTTTAGTGGTTCTATATGTACCACCTTGCTTATGAGAATTCATAAAAGATCTACCATGCGTAATTATAATTGTCTGATAATCTTAATATTCATCTTATCGTCAGGTCATGTAATGATTATGTGTGGTTGAATGTAGGGATCATTGGGTCCAATTCTACTGTTCTTAAGGGCAATCTACAATCATAATTGCTAAATCTAGCATTCGATAATGTGGTTAGAAGGTTTGTATGCTTGGACATATCCCTTGATGAGTATCTGATGTCTAAAGATCAAATTTGTTATAACTTAAGCTCATGTAAATTTATGTTGTGAGAAGGTGACTTTGTTAAGAACTATGTTAGTTTGAGTATTATGAGTGTGTGTTGGTTGGTTTAGGTCCACATCTAATTATAGCGAGTGCTGATTTAGAATTTTATTATGGTTATATGAGAAGGATTTGTCCTGATTTTTGTATCAAGGTCCTTGATAACATGTTGCAGACATGTGTACGATCAACTTTGGTGGTTATTGGGAATAGCTTTGTTGTTAGTTAAGTATATATACAACAATAATTATCACTCGAGTATGGTGATGACTTCATTGAGGCATTGTATGTGAGGATGTGTAGGTATTCCATTGGTTGGTTTGGGGACGAAGATTATATCATAAAGTGAGACTCAATTTTTTTAAACAAGACCTTCTGTATGAGGAAGAACTAGTTGAAATTCTTGGTCGCGATGTCCGGAAGCTAAGGACATGCGAGACAAGTATTCCTAGTTGTTCAACGATTCAGGTACTACTCTACCCTTACTTTAAGTCTTTCTTAGTTGATCACTCGGGGATGAGTGATGGGTAAATTGGTATCTATTGTAACGACCTGATTCCTTCGTTAAGGAAAAGCCAATGGGGGAAAGAATTGGGGTCAGAAAACTTTTTCGTAGTAAATTTATGAGTGATGGGTAAATTGGTATCTATTGTAACGACCTGATTCCTTCGTTAAGGAAAAGCCAATGGGGGAAAGAATTGGGGTCAGAAAACTTTTTCGTAGTAAATTTGAATTTCCTAACCTAGTCCAGATTTGGATGAAATCGGAGTCAGGCGAGTCTAGGGAAATCTGGTAACAATTGGGTGATCTAATTATGATTTTGATCACATGAGTAGATAGCTAAGACGTTAAGGAACCTGAAAAACTTTACGAAATTGAATTCAGGAGAGTAGAACTCCTAAAACTGATCTTAGCGTGAACAGGTATGTTCTGAATGTCATGGGATGAAGGTGTGTTGTTAAATGGGGTTTGGAACTCTTAATTCAACTCACTGTTTCCGTGCAAGCCGTTGTGGCGGGCCGCCATAGCGGGACAGTCACAGTTTAAGTCAAAATAAACCCCAAAAATATTTTATTCTGCACTTTTCGACCTTGAGAGCTAAGGAACAACCCCAGGTGTGTTCTTGACGGTTTTTCACCATCCTTGAGGCTAAAGGTAAGGTTTTTACTCCCCGAATCCATGTTTCGATCCGTAGAATGTAAATTCATGGGTAATTGTCAATGGGGGAGGGTTTTGATCGGACAATTATGGTGGAAAAAACCCTAATCTGGGTATGGGGATCAAGGGTTTGACCTAGGATTGATATTATTGATTATAATCCGGGTAATTAGGCCTCGTTTGTTGATCCTTGCGTTAATTGTATATTTTTAGACCACAAACAAGTGGGAAGAATCCAAAAAGAGAAGATTCAAGTGCCTTAGGGGATTCAAGCTTGGATTCGAGGTAGGTGATGGTTGTGATTTCATGTCGTGTGATATATGTTTGTACTTGCTTCATTATAATGCATGTATGTATGCGAATGTTGCATTATTGATCACACTAATCGTGAATGAGGATAATTGAATAATTGAATGCCATGAATCATGATTTGATTGTATTATTATGAGAATGTACTTGTGATTGTGATTGTGGATTGTTGAATGGATCGGGTGTTACGTTCTAACACACTAACTGGGATAAGTTGCCACGTACCGGCATAAACATTGGAACGGGTGTCACGATTCGACACACTAACTTGGATCGGGTACCACGTATCAGTACACTAACAGTTTGGGTATGGGTTCTATGAGAGGACCATTGAATTGTGTTGTGTATCTACTTGTGATGATTACGTTCATATCTAATGATGACTGATATTGGAAGACCGTATGTTGCTCTAAAATGATAACCAATGTGTATTATTGAGAACGTGGAATGCTACATTGATCCTGAAAAGATGACTAATATTGTATATGTTCGGTTTATGCCTGTTTTGTAATGTTGTGGTTGCTCGCATTTGTTTCACTTATTGGGATAGCCGTGTGATCCTACCAGTGTATTGTGGTTGTGTACTGATACTGCACTTGCTTGTTCTTTGTTGAGTAAAGGGCATCTTCAGGCAGCTATTGATAGACCTCAGCTAGGTGACTATTGATCGAGATCGGATTCAAAGGTGAGCCAGTTCTTTCAGGCTGCCATAAATTCTTCGTATTTTGTTTAGTCCACTCTTTTTGGACTTAGACATTATTTTAGTAGTTGTTTAGTTTCGAGGTTGTACCCCTTGTTCTTAGACTTGTCGTTAGTAGAGTTTAGGTACATTGACTTTCAGGTTCTAGGAGTTGTTCTTCCGCATTAGTTTGGTTAAGTTATTTGTTTAAACCTTTGGAGTTTATGGGAACTCCGTATTTTTTTTATCATTTAAACCTGCTTCCGTATCTTTAAATGCGTAGTATTTGGTTAAGTTGCTAGTTTGGGTTGTAGTAATGGTTCTCCCAGCGGAGGGTTAGTGTAGGTGCCAATCACGACGGTCTGGGTCGTGACAAGTGGGTAGAATTATTTTTTTTTAAAATGAAATAATATCTAAATTAGTATTTGAAGGGGGGGGGGGGAGGGGTCGCTACAGTGAGAGGAAGTGACGGTGGGGTAAGAAAAATATTTTACATTTTATTTTATAATTTTTTTTTGGGATAATAATTTTGTATTCTTTAATTTTAAATAATATCTATAATTTATTTAATTTTTGTCAAGATGGAATGTTTTGTCCATGTAGACTGTGATGTGATAATTTTTTTTAAATAAAAGAGAGTATTATACACACCATTAGGGGTGTTCACGATTTGGATAAAAATCGATCCAAACCAAAAAATCGAATCAAACCGATTAACTGAACCAATTTTATCTATGGTATGGTTTGGTTTTGGATTCTTAAAAAACCGATAGTATTTGTGTTGGTTTTGATTTTGACCAATAACCGATCCAAATCGATCCGTTGACAACACACCATGGTGAGAGTGTTATAAAAGAGAGAGGTGTGTTTCTCAAAGTAATAAGTGATGATTTAGGTATGAAACTCACTCTCAATAGTTTAGGTATGAAACTCAAAGAAATGTGATAGTTTAGATGTGTTTTTTGACACTTAACTCTATTTTAAATTCAACTACTAATATTTATATATTTATTTAATGACGAACTAATATTAGAATAAGTAATAAATTTATTTTAATTTGTTAAAAAAGACAAGAAAAATGGAAGCAAGAAGTAAAAAAAAATCACATTCTATTTTAAATAGAATACAAAAGCAATACATAAAAATTAAAAGGAGAAATTCTCGTATAGATATATGATTTATTACCTAATTTTTATAATAGATTAATATAATAATAACGTGAGATAAAGATGAAATGAAATTAAAACCTAATGTTGCAATCAAATAATCATGAAAGAATAGAAAGAGGGAGTGGATCTTAATTTTTCATTCATGGTTTCACCTACCAGTTAGCACTGTTACAAACTCTTATCCATGTGGTATGGTAAATAAATGAGGTTTGTCCACCATTTTTGTAGATGTTAAACCCGATGAAGAAGCTGAAAAGCTTTTACAAACACCTGAAATACCCAGCAATAACAACGGAGCGTAAGTGGATATTTCCACTTGCTGTTGCTTCTCTAGTTTTCCTCTTCATCTTCTTTATCACTACCTTAATTTCACCAAATGCTACTACTCCTCTACTGCCCCCTTCCTCCGCCTCCATTTTCGTCGAATCAAAGCTTCAATTGTTACCTATTTCCACAGTCCCTGCCCCTCCACGTTTCGCTTATCTCGTCTCCGGCTCCGCTGGTGATGGTGCCATGCTGAAGCGTACCCTTCAAGCTCTTTACCACCCAAATAACCACTATGTTGTGCATCTTGATGCTGACTCATCGCCTCAAGAGAGGCTTCATTTGCATAAATTTGTTGTCAATCATCCAATTTTTAGGAAATTCAACAATGTGCGTATGATTACGAAAGCTAATCTTGTGACTTATCGTGGACCAACTATGGTAGCTAATACGCTCCATGCTGCTGCTATATTGTTGAAACAAGGTGGGGAATGGGATTGGTTTATAAACCTCAGTGCTTCTGATTACCCACTTGTTACTCAAGATGGTCAGCCATTTTCTTCTTGTGAAAATAATTATGAGATTTTTCTATTTTTTTGAGAAAAAAAATGGGGTTTAATTTGAATGTTGAATTCTCAGATCTTATTCATGCATTTTCGGATTTACCACGGGATCTTAACTTCATTGATCATACTAGTGATATTGGATGGAAAGAGTAAGTATATATATATATATGTTTTCCTTATTTCATGACATTGGATGATTTTTACTTGTTTGGTTTCTATTTCTCAAGGTTTCAGAGGGCCAAGCTCATTGATCCGGGGTTGTACATGAATAAGAAATCTGATGTTTTCTGGATTACACAGAGAAGAAGTGTACCAACAGCTTTCAAGCTTTTTACAGGCATCATTTCTTTCTTTGCACTTCTTCTCTTAATAGATGAGGTGTTTTAAAAGTAAAGTTTGAAAATCTACTGCAGTTCCAGCTCCGTTTTCCTTTGTGTGTTATCCATGCTCTTACCCAAATTCTAACTTGCTGCTAGAGATCTAACTTTTACCTTATAGGGAATATCTGTTGGATAGGGAATCCTTTTTTCTTATGAATGGATGAGATGTTTGACGATTTTACATTTTGTACTATAAACACGTTCAACCGTTGTGCCTAATGAAGTTAGAATTTCGTCTTTGACAAGATGCTGAACAAGCAAACTTTGTTAGTTATTCAACCACAACAACATATCCGGTGTAATCCCACAAGTGGGGTCTGGGGAGGGGAGGGTAGAGTGTACTTACCCCTACCTTGGGAGGTAAAGAGGTTGTTTATGATAGTCCCTCGGCTCAAGGAAAGGCATATCGAAAAAGATATGACGGAACTGAAGAAATCATGGCAAAATACTAAGAAAGTATGATAAAGCATTCTGAAAAAGGAAGTGTGTCTACAACAAAATAGTGCACTGATCGAAGTACAACTGACAGTAGATATTAACAGAAATTGAAGGACAAGAAACTACAAGAGAAATACTATGACTACTAGTGTGGAAGGAGAAGCTACACAACTCTCTGCTATCTTGTAATTAAAAAGAAAAGTGATGCTTTTCTTAGTCACAAACATATTCAGTTAAACATTCAGCGGGACGTATAAGAAGGGTCCAAAATGGATGGTCAGAGGATGTCTCAACTATAACAAAGAAATCGTATGTATAGGGAAGATTGATGCAGGAAGGAAAATTGGAATTGGTAATTTTACTATAGAGAAGCATTCGTAGTCAACGTGATTCCACTTTTCTTGGAAATATTTTGAACTTCATGCGAGTTTAGAGCAGTGTTATCAAAGGCGCGCTTTAAGCGCTTAAGCCCTGAAGCGAGGCTCAAAACATGTTGAGCGCTTCGCCTCGCTTTATGTGCGCTTCGGTGTCGTCATCAAGGTTCTAAGGCAAACTTTTCCTTGCCAATGACCCTCTTATGAAGAAGTGACACTAAACAATTGATATTTCACTTTATCATAAAAAAAATTCAGTTTCTTTGGTCATAAATGAGAATTCACAGAACTTCAGAGCTAGACCTGCACAGTCTCAAGGTAGTGTGGCACATGGAGGTAACTGGGATCCTGCATGTACTAAGTGTGGTAGGATCCACCAGTGTAGTCAAAGGCGCGCTTTAAGCTCGCTTAAGCCCTGAAGCGAGGCTCAAAACGTGTTGAGCGCTTCGCTTTGCTTTATGTGCGCTTCAGTGTCGTCATCAAGGTTCTAAGGCAAACTTTTCCTTGCCAATGACCCTCTTATGAAGAAGTGACACTAAACAATTGATATTTCACTTTATCATAAAAAAAATTCAGTTTCTTTGGTCATAAATGTGTCATTCATGTTTATAATTATTAGTCTTGGACTAAACATATATATTTGTATTTTTTTCTCCCTTTGCGCCTTTTTTCATTAAAGCCCACGCTTTATTTGCGCTTTGCGCTTAAAGCCCCCACGGACCTTAGAGGTTGTTTGCGCTTTTCGCCTTTGATAACACTGGTTTAGAGGTTATGGTAGTTGAGATTGATAAAAAAGATCATGTCAGGCATGATGCAGATGACAAGAAATCCCAGTATTAAACACAATAACATTATGATATTGATACTTTAAGTGAAGGGATTGGTTCTTGATTTCAACAGCAAGCACATTTGTATTTTTGGGATGGTTCTCAGTGTTTCCAACACCTGTGAATGCAGGATTTGCATACTGTATTAGAGAAGTATTGCTTACCTGAAGCTCTGGGGAAAGATTAAATTCACACACATTAGTTTTATTCTGCACCATTAGATCATGCCTCTTGTTACAGTTGTCACATTAGATTTGAAGCAAGAGCTGGAAGAATTGAAATGCAGTTTTCCCAGCATATATATAACATTGAAACAACAACTTCTTTATACAATTTTTTTGACTAAGTAATTAATTTTATTAATGTTGGGAACAACTTTCATATACAAGCAGTATACCAAAAAGTATAGAACCTACGAAATGATATGATTCTCTACGAAAAATAACTATTTTTTTTATACAAATCAGAACCTCAAGGATGCACCAACAGATAACTCAGGATAAGAGGCTGTTGTCAAATGTACAATATCATTCTTCATTCCATGTAATATTTTCTGATTTCTCTCATTCCATTAATCCACTTGAGTGCTTTCCATGCGCTGCTTCTTCTCTTCCATTTTCCATAACCCCTGCTTCACAGTGCCTGGCAATTGGCATTGTCCATCTTGTCCCGAACCATCTCAAAATCTCCCACCACAAGCGCATATGTAGCTGGCAATGCAAAAGGAGGTTGCCCACATCTTTGCCTGAGTACTTGCGTAAAGCACCAACTAGTATAGGTGATCCTTCTCTTCCTCAAGTTTTTAGTTTTCAGTATTGGCCCCCTTGCTGCCGAACATGTGGAAAAACACATATATCTTGTCACCCTGGTCCATTTCTGTATTGCATATGTCATTGGTATCAACGTGGATTTTTCTTGTGCTATTCCTTCAGATTGATGGACAATTTCAACCAACAAAAAGTATGCGTGGAAATAAATGTCTGTTCTCACACATTTTATTAAGGAGCATATTTACATTGTTTGTTCGAGTAGTACTGACTTAGACTACATGATAAACAATTATTGTCATATAATTCTTTTTTTGGTGAATATACTCATTGGTTAAAGATTTATTTATTTGATCAAGCATTGGTTAAAGATTATTAGGTTTTCTAAATGTAAAATCTTTGAAGGTTTGTTACATTCTCAAAAAAAAGATCTTTTTGGGACTTCCATGTTGGAGATCTCAAGTTCGAAACCCCTTGCCAGCGAAAGCAAGGGGTTTGCCTTCTGGGTCGAGCTCGTCGCACTGGGCTTGCCTAGTGCGGGTTACCTCTCCTTTGTGGTTTGTGAGCTATTGCATAGGAGCGGGGGTTTTACCCTGTGCGCACCCAAAAGGTAGCGGCTGTGGATTTCCCTTGTCATAAAAAAAAAAAGATCTTTGAAGGTTCATCTTTTTAAGGGAGTGTCATTTATTGCTTTACTTTTGCTTATGATTATTTTGAGGGGCTGGAAAGGGTAAGATGATGAGCAAGAGTTGACATGTGGAGCAATAGCTTTATTTATTCCTCATCTAGACTGTTTTGCTATTAGGACTCTACAAAATTGCTAGAACATTGCTCTTGCCTCTTTCAGGGTCTGCTTGGATGGCCCTTTCTCGACCCTTTGTTGACTTCTGCATATGGGGATGGGACAACTTGCCTCGAACTGTACTTATGTACTATGCAAATTTCATCTCAACTCCGGAAGGCTATTTCCACACTGTTGTTTGTAACGCTCAGGAGTTCCGCAATACCACAGTAAACAGTGATCTACACTTTATATCGTGGGATAACCCTCCAAAGCAGCATCCTCATTACCTTACTCTTGATGACATGCAAAAGATGGTTGACAGTAATGCCCCATTTGCGAGAAAGTTTCATCAAGATGATCCAGTGCTTGACAAGATTGACAATGAACTCCTGTTTCGAGGTCAAGGCATGTTTGTCCCCGGTGGTTGGTGCACAGGGAGTCGAGAGAACGGGACAGATCCATGCTCCGTAGCGGGTAATACCACAGTCCTTAGACCTACTGCTGGGGCAAAGAGAGTGAAAATTTTGACAGGCTCTCTCTTATCAAATGACAGTTTTCGATCCAGGCAGTGCATATAATGAAAACAATTTTGAAAGTAGACTTCTTTCTGATAGTCTTCATATAGGGAAAGCAGTTGATGTTATGAGTTGATGGTTTTTTTTCTTGAGAGTGAAGACTTTTTTGAGCATACACTATCATTTGCTTCGAGATTCGCAGTCACGAGTTAATACTGCAGGAAAAAGTGCAAATGTAGAGTATTGCTCCAGAAAAGCGAGGGCTCTACCAACGTTCACCTATTTCAACTGTATTGCTAGGGATTTGCAATTCCCTTATACTGAAGTTTTTACTTACTAGAATGGATAATTTTTGGAGTGAGCCCTCGCGGAAGGAAGTATCTCAGGTTTGTTACCCCTTTAATGTGTAACGTATCTGGTGAGAGTTTCTTTTTCTTGTAAACAATGTTAAATAGGATCTAGTCTATGCAAATAATTTGATCGTGGAATTCTTTGTGCTTTTTTCCCACTTGTTTTGGAGGTTGAGGGGGAAGGGAGTTTGTTGGTGGTGATTGAATGTATCATAATCTGCTCCTGCTATTGTTTGGTACTATCATTGAGTGAATTTCTTAGACCTTGTTACTGCCTGCATGAATTGAATATTTAGCAGCTTACACTGCCTATGTATAATTGTTCGAACTCTTTGGACATATACAAAATAGAGTATTTTTGTGGTTGAATAATTGTGAAATTTTTCTATCAAAGGGAATCTCTCCACACATTTTGTGATTGGATAGAATGATGACCTTAGCATTGTGTGATTAGCGTTTATCTAATCTCTGGCGCGGACAGATTATTTAGCCTCGGGGTCGTTTGGTACATAGATTAACAAGGCAGAGATTTGTAATGCGGTGTTTATTTTTTTATCAAGTGTTCGGTTCATTGCTTCTCACCTAATCTTGTGTTTGGGTTAAAACTTTAAAAAAAATTCTTTCCAATTATTTACCCTTGAATTATTATGTGATTTTCTATTTTATGTAGTTGGATCAAGGTAGATAATTACTGTACAATTTTTTTTTTTGTGGCTTCTAACTAGCTAGGAGAACAATTTTGTTGACATGTTTGCTGCTTTTCACTTGAATTATTTCCGGGTAATAATTGTCATCTTAATAAATTAATTATTCACAAACATCAATTTTTAATTTAAAAAAGATAGACCATCATTTTTTTAAATCGAAAACACGGTAAACGATAGTAAAATTGAATAAATAACTACGTTTACACATAAAAAAATGTAAGTTATAGTTTTAATATGTATGCAATTTTATAAATTGTTCAAAATATAAATAATTAGAAGAGAATCTCTAATTAGAAACCACTTATAATTATCTATCAACAAATAATACATTCAATTAAGATCACAAACGTCATGTGGTAATATATTTGTCTTTCAATTACTAAATGTTAAGCAATTCATTTTTCAAATATTGTATTAATTTGTATTGGAATTTTTTAGCAACAAACAACTATCTAAATAATAAAATTTGTAAGCTAATCTATTCAAATAAAGAGAAAACTGTCCCACACATCTATTTAAGAGTTAATATTGTAGCCTTTAAATCTACTATTTTTTAATTAGTACTAGTAATGTTTTATTTACGGGCATTAATAGATCTGTATTATTTTATAAATTAATTAATTATAGTCTATTAAGTGATTATATAGTATTATCCTAATTACTATGTTACAGAAACAGAGGTTAATTAATAAGAAGGAGAATCAGGCATGCAATTAATTATCAATTACTACATCCAAGGATTTCTTAACTTACATACGTCACCCCCACCCCACCCCGACATACCCAGGTCTCTTACAACGGTGTTTTCTTTCTCCATCGTTCTTCAACATCATTCAAACAAAAATCACCTATATTCTGCTCCTCAATTTCACAACTCCATTTTTTTATTCATAAGAAAATAATTATACTATGTCGAAAAATCAAAAGGAGTATCATACACTTAAAAAGAGTCCAAAATTTATCAAACATGAATCTAATATCGAAATAGAGCCTCCAAATTTTGATATTTTAATTCAAACTCTGCCTTAGAAGAATGTCATACCCTCAAAGAAGAACGACACCCCTTTGAAGAAGCCCTCGAAACCTTAAAAAAAATGGCCGAACACATATACAGCCCCTCTAACTTGTTCACATTTTTCATTCTGGCACTTTATCTTAGCCTTGTTCCATTTTAACCCTTGAACTCCATTTTTTATGTTCCATTTTAACACGAAATACTATTTTTATGATTTATTTATTTTTATATATATTCTTCAATTGCATCTTCTTATTTTAAATCGACACGTGTCATTTAATTTTAGTTAAAAAATTAAAAATTAACAAAAAATAATTCTTTTTTTAAAAAATTAATTTCTTTTTAAGAGTGTTATGTATTTTTGTGTGAAAAATAACCGACGAAATTGTGTTGGTTTTCTTTCTTTAAAATCACCGACAACCTAACAAAGTCAGTCGAGTTTTAACATTGTTTAGTAGTGTTATTAGCAATGAACAAGAGTCTTTTTTTAGTAGTGTTACTAACTAAGTCAGTCGAGTCTTTTTGAAGATGGGTTTTTTTATTCGTATTGATTTATATTAAAATTAAAAGTGAGTATTTGCGTTAAATTTAGATAGCCTAGATGATAAGAAAAAATAAATAAGTAGTGTTATTTAATTTAATTGAATGTTTAAGAAAGAAAATCAAAGAACTTTCGTCAATTATTTTCATGCAAAAATACAGAGAAATATCAAAAAATAATATTATTATTTGAAATTTTTTATGTTCGTTCGTGAATGTTTAATTTTTTTAGTTAACAGGCACACGTTTATTTTAAAAAAATAAGAAATTGCAATTGAAGAAGATAAATAAAAACAAATCATAAAAATTAGTATAAGTGTTTAAATGGTATAGAAAAAATGAAGTTTAAGGGTTAAAATGGAACAAGGCTAAGTTGGAGTGCCAAAATAAAAAATGATGGCAAGTTTGAGGAGTTGTATATGTGTGGCCAAAAAAAATCTAGTTCAACATTGAAGGAGAATTCGAAAATTCCCAAGTCTAAAAAGGTCAAACATGTTGGGAAGGTATTTTTAATAAATTAATTTTTTTATTTATATTTTGTTTAAATTTTTATGTATACCATGGTGAAACTAGCACAAATTTGGTGTGAATTTTTTATACTTATATATTGATTGTGATTTCTGTGTTGACATAAAAATGGTATGATTTTAATAATATTGTGTATATGTAGAATGTTTATTGTTAATGTAAACTAAATTTTGCGTAAAGTTTTCCCTTTGTTGGTATAAATATGACATTGGTGACACACACAAATTTAAAATTGAAATCTATATTTGCACTATTGACATAAGAGATGCGGCCTGAATGAAAGGTGTAATTTGTGTTTACATGTGACATTAAATTTGTAAGAAATTGGTATACTATGTTTTAAATATAGTCTGTATAAAGTATGTATTATATTTGTATGAAATTCTTATAATGTGTATATATTTGACATGAAGTTGATATGTGTTTTCTGTATTGATTGTGATTTCTGTGTTGAGTTTAATATTTTTTGTGTATATGTAGAATGTTTATTGTTAATATTAACTAAACTTTATGTTTATTAGTGTTCAAAATGTGTATAAAAGTTAGTATTCATTAGTAAGTTTAGTTTAGTATGTATAAGTATTTATTTATTGTGTGAAATAGATATGAAATTTCATGCCCCGACAAATTTGGTATATAAGCTGAATTCAATAGTATTAGTAAATGTTTACAATGAAAATCATATTATATACTCATTACATACAATAAATGATAATTCTTTTAAATTTATGGTGTGAATTAATATATAACAAGGTATACTCATCTCATTAATTATGAAAATTATTTAAAAACTGGTAAATTTAATTTATTTTAACAATTCTCTTTTTAGATTTTCGATTTATGAAGTTTGTATATATAAGATGCTAATTTGTAAATGATGCAGTCTTTTAAAAAAATTATTCATCTAGAAAAATAAATTAAAAAATAAATACACATTCCTAAAACAAAATTTCATAAGAATGCTTTTTTTTTTTTTAAAAAAAAATCAAATAAAAACAAACAAAAAAAAACGATATAAATTTTTAAAGCATTGAAAAAAAAATACATTCCTTCTACCTCAATGTTTAATCAATATTAAATAAGCACTACGGTGAAATTTTTAAAAAGATTTGACAATTAAAAAGAAGGAAGAAGAAAAAATAAAAATAGGAGATTAATATTATTAATTAGGAGATTGATAACAACTGAAATAGTGACCAAGGAGAAAATCAAGGATTAATACATGTTACCAGTTACTAAACACCATATTTAAGAAAAAATATTGATAATTAATTGGTTAAGGGTTATTTTAATTTAATTCTTTATTATCATTAATACATTAATATGTTTGTTATTTTCCATTCCGTTTTTTTTTTATATGTTTAACAAATGTTATATCCGGTAAGTCTTTTACTTGTTAAAACTTGAAACATAAACAATAATGTCATAACTAGTAATAAATAGTCTTATATATGTTAATTATGAATTTTTCTCTTAAATAAATTTACTATTACAAATATAAAGCATAAAATCTAGAAAATAAATAAAATGATTAAAAGTATTTGAGGAGTATTTTTATCTTTACATATATTTTTCTCATGATATTAAATCTTATGTATTATTAATACAATCAAATGAAAGGTATTAGCTATATATCTTATAATATCATGTAGGTGTATAATTAATCCATGGATCAGTTATACATAAATTCAAAATTCCTATAATATATAGTACTAAATAATACATGGAATATTTTTCTTCTAATACTCTCTAGTCCCTACCGAACGACCGATGTCTACCATCTCTTCGTTAGACAATTTTGGCTGAGTATATTCCTTTCCAAGACCCCTAATACAATATCAGACAGTTATTTTGAGCCACTGCAAGCCAGCAACCATATTTTAACACTTGCACAATCTAATAAAAAAGAGAGCACAAAACAGAAACAGTAATATGGAAAAATTACTTTAGTTTCAAACAGAAAAGAAAAGTACATAAAATGTTTCACAAAGAGTGAAATGAACATTTTTTTATAAGATTAGAGTTGTGATCTAGTGATCATGACATATATATGCACTCAATAGCATATAATTCAAATTTTACCTAATTTCCTCCTTACATCGCCTTCTCACTATTCATGAATGCTTTCTATGACATTCACTCAACACCCGTAGTTAATTCACTCCTTCTCCTGGTCTGTTAGGACAACATATCAATACATGGTTGTTGTCACGATCCAGGGGTACCTCCTTGATGTAACATGGCGTATAGGACCCCGAGAGACCCCATACAAGCCACTTAGCATTCATAACATAGGAAATAGAACAAAAGAAGCAAAACAACATTTCAAGTCCAATAGTTTTTATAAAAGAAAAGCGAAAGTCTAAAACACTTGTCTCAATAGCCATCTAATACAATAGAATGAAATTGGGCCTACACCATACATCATGTCCAAAACTGAAATACAAGAAAGAAACTGAAACAAGGAAAGTCCGTCCTCGAAGCATGAGGACTCACCTAAGCCCGGAAACCTCGTAATCAACCACTAGCCACGAAATTGAGAAACCTGACTGTCGGACCCTACATTTGGGAAATGTAGG